TCCTTTTTAGTTTTTTTTAATAGATGAAATAGATTAAAACTTCGGAAAATCATAACTAATTCATCGTAACTCCGATTCGAGTGGTTCAAGTTGCTATTTTTTTCTAAAATTGAGATCTACATGTTAAAAATATCCACATTTACTGGTTATGCTTGTTTTTGTACTGTTTTGTTGATTTTGTCTTTTTGCTTTAGTTTCCGACGTTCCCGAGGAGAGCGTTTCAGTTTAAGAAGGTTCGGAAGTGTTTGTGGAAGCTCAAGGCAAGTCACACAGATCCCAAACGACCCTTTAGCATGTTGAACCCGTTTAAAGCTAATGTTTTATTTCAACTTATGTATTATTTTCGAATGTCATCGGGTGGTGAACCTTTCCCAATTAATTAATGGCCGAAGATGACTTTATTTTCCTATGGGTTATAATTTGATTAGCTTGGACCTTATATATTGGATTGGTTCAGCTAAATGCCGTATGTATGTTTGCTTAGCCATGCTTAGAAACATTAGCTAATTAATGGGATTGTACACAAATTATATTACATTATTATTAATTATGGTTATATCTAATGGTAGCTCACGATGGTTAATCGTGTTATGTTATGTTAATTAATTGATAATTAAAACCTGGTTAAGGTGGGTTGTGAGCATATGGTTTTGATGGTTGTGCTCATGACAATTAAGGACCGGTTCGCGAGCTACTGTTGTGAAATATTTACCGTGCCAACCACAAGCCAGCGTGGGCAACGGCTTTATCTTTTGTATAGCATGATTCATTATAGTGTGCTAGACTGTGAAGCGGCGAGAAGTCCGTGGGGGTCGCTGGGGAGTCCATTGCCTCTGGTTTTGAGGGGGAGATTATGATCCAGGAACGGTGCACTGTGGTGAGTTGTGTTGTGCGAGGGGTATTGTCACAGTTCCTTTCCGAGGTATCGTGGTGGTGCTAAGGCGCATGGTGACATGTTGTGGGATTGTGTCTTGTGGGTACAGTGGTACACCTCTGATCAGAGTAAAACTATTCGAATAGCCGTGCCCGCGGTTATGGGTGAGTTGTGCAATGTTTTTCGTGATTAGTCTCACATTACACATTGATGATAATTGTGATAAATAATTTGACTCCTGGTTTGGAATGGTATATTCCTGGTATGGAGGTTAGATTTGTACAACCGGGGTTGGTTGTTCAAATAAGGTTGGGCCTATGTAACACGGGTGTGTTGTATGGTGTTTATCTAATACTGTTTAATTATTCAACTGTTTTACAATTCTCTTAAATATTTATTAAATGTTGTTTACGCAAATGAGCTTTATTATGCCATCCTTTGTTATCCTGTGCACTTACATATTTGCTGTGTGGCTTGTTGAGTTTGTCATATGCTCATTCTTGCAATATTCATTCATCAGAGGAGAAGTACTTCAGTGAAGGTGATGTTCTGGAGGACTAGGCTTGGTCCGGGTTAAGTTGCATGTGGAGTGGAGTCGCCATAGCTGTTCCGTAGTTTGTTTTTATTTTTTCGCTGCGTAGAATGTTATTCTTTGAGAGGAACTATCCACCTCTGTAATAATTTATTATTTGCGAATATTAATTAGCTGTTTATTTGTACTCTATTATCAATTTGTTATTGTGTGCCTCGGCTGATTCCTGGACGAGGGTTTAACACACATGCAAGCGTTTGGAATTTTGGATAGAAATTCCGGGCGTGACTTTTCCTAGATTATTAGAGTTTAACTTGTAGGCTTTTAAAAATAATTTCTAAAAATGATTTAAAATATGCATTATTAATTTAGGCGATTTTTAGGGCGTGACAACTTGGCCTGGCAATGATTGAGCGTGTGAAGAAAAGGCAGGCCTCCCGCATAGCGAACATAAGAGAGGAACACAAACACAAAATTTTTCCATCTCAAAATTAACGCGCGAAGAAGAAAGAACAACATTAAAAGATTGCACAAGAAAGGCGACTAGGTTGTGACCCACGATGACAAGGAGATCGTAATCTGCGAGCACTTTGGAAGGATAATGGGCTAGCCGAAGCCAAGAACGTGTGAGCTCAATTGGCAGGCACTACATGTTCCGACAGCGGACCTCTCACACCTAAACGAACCTTTAACAGAGCAGGAGATCTACCGGGTAATTAAGAAGATGCCAATTGATAAGGCACTAGGGCTAGACGGCTACACTGAAAACTTCTTCAAGGTCTGCTAGGACATCATCAAAGTAGAAAATATTGTTGCAGTCTTCAACTCGACCAACAACCTATGATGCGCAAACATGAGTCTTTTGAACTCGGCCAAGACTGCCCTAAATCCTCACAAGGAGGGTGCATAAGAAGTGACAGATTATTGACCCATCAACCTAATGCATGGCATAGCAAAGATCCTCTCTAAGCTGTTGGCGCTGCGCCTAAGACCCGATTATGTGGACAGTCATCTCAGTCAATCAGAGGCCTTTATCAAAGGCAGGAGGATCCATGATAAGAAGGTACCATAGAACGAGGCAGTCAATGCTACTTTTCAAACTTGACATAACCAAGGCATTCGACTCAGTGCGCTGGGATTAGCTATTGGCTATGCTACAGCACGATGGATTCCCGCAGAAGTAGACATATTGGGTGACAACCATATATTGCACCTCCACATCGCAAGCAATCCTCAATGGGATCCCGGGTGGCAAAATCCTACATGATAGAGGCCTAAGGCAAGGCAACCCACTATCGCTGCTTATTTTCATCCTGGCAATCGACCCCCCCCCCTATAATAGTTCCTTTCCAAAGCAACAAATCTAAAGGCCATACCAAGCTACAGGGCAGAGCAACCCGCCTAAGAATCTCCATGTACCCCGATGATGAAGTGGTCTTCATCAATCCCATCAGGAAGGATGTCCTGACCTTCATTGACATCCTTATGTGTTTCCAGCATTAGACATGGCCTAGCCACAAACAAGCAAAAATCTCAGGTAGCCACAATCAGATGCGAGAGCATAGATCTGGACTCCATTCTAAATGGTGTGCCATTGGTGCGGGCACACTTCCCTATAAAATACATAGGACTGCCACAACTCCTTGGAAGGATGGGCTAGATGGATATAAAACCAACCTTTCACAAGACTGCAACGCGGGTCATTGGCTGGAGGGGGAAAAACATGGGACCAGCAAGGTGGTCAACACTGGTCAAGTCAACACTGACAGTGCAGCCCATCTACCTTCTCATGCCCTCAAGGAGACCAAAGAAGCCCTAGGTCTCCTTGACACAAAAGATAAGGAAGTTCCTATGGGCGGGGACAAGGGCCATCACAGGGGGGAAATGCATGATTAACTGGAAAAAGACGTGCATCCCAACCACACCAGGAGGACTGGGAGTTCTCAATATGCAGAAGTTCATGAGGGCCCTACGACTAAGATGGCTCTGGCACGAATGGAAAGACCCCACCAAGCCGTGGGTGGGCCTTGAAACACCACCTTACGAAACAGACAAATTGCTCTTCGCCGCGGCCACTAAAATAACCATCGGGGATATCAACACAATTCGCTTCTGGGACTCTGCCTAGCTAGATGGGCAAAGGCCAAAAGACATTATGCCACTAGCCTATGTAGTGTCCAAAAAAAGAGGAAATTCCTTGCCTGAAGGCATTGAGAACATGGTATATGTGATCAATGAACTCGTGTCCCTATGGGACGCAACCCAGGGCATCCTTCTCGACCAAATTGAGCCTGACCAAATCACTTGGAAGCTATCGAACCATGGAGAATACTCAGCCTCACCAGCATATACTGCGCGCAATGCCTAAGAACCAAAGGTACCAATAAAAATGACTTAATTTGGAGAGCACGGGCCCTGCAAAGTGCAAATTTTATGCGTGGCTAGTGACACACAATAGCACAATAGAGTATGGACATCCGATCAACTCGTTGCTAGAGGCTAGCCAATCAATGAGATATGCCCCCTCCGCCACACGAACAAGTTGGCAAGCCACCTAATTAATCACCCACTGTAGATACAACAAGAGGATTTGGAGCCTAACTGCCTCCTGGGTGGCATGCCAGCAACGGGACACGAGCCACTGGGATCCAAGCCAGAGCGTCCAAGACTGATAGGAAATACTAGCCAACAAAAAGGAAGTACCCAAATGAGGCCTACGGACCATATTACTATTCGTCGACTGAGAAATCTAGAAGGAAAGAAACCAACGGGTTTTCGAGCACTAGGAGACCGTGGCTCCTAGCGTCCTGACAAAAAAACAAAGGAGGCAAGAACTTGGGCTATGGCAGGAGCAAAGGCGGCTTAGGGAATTTCTACTAGACCAATCAAAGGCTGTGCATAGCACTGTATAGTCTTTTGTTTCCTTACCCCAAGGAGTTCTATTTTTTTACCTCTATGTTCAATGAAATAGCACAATCTCGTGCTGATTTCTTTCAAAAGAAGATTGATTTGGTGTGACGCGCACCGACAACACTTCTGCACACTAGCGGTTCTTTTTAGTTTTGCTAAAAATCCCAGGACTCTATCTTTTTCTATGATACACATAACCGTTTGAGAAAATTATGTAATAAGCTTTTCCTATGGCGGTCAATTAATTCTCAGGTTCAATTCTATGTGGGTCTAAATTATTTATGTGGGTCTAAATTAAATAATTAAAGGCAAAATTACATAAACCACCTCAATTATCAACTTTTTTCTATATTTCGCCCCATAACATACATTGTTGCAAAACCACACATACCCACCCAACTCTTCTAGACCAAAATTGGCTACTTCCCACCGACACTTGAGCATTGGGTCATATCACTATACCAGCCAGGTCAGGCTTGTCCCGAGTGGTGTGATGAGTTTGACTCAAATTAACTCGTCCTTAGCTAAAGAATGGTGTTGCTTCCAGCTCACAGTAAACATGTATATAGGTCCAATAACGAGCTTGAGCTGGATTCAGCTCTTAGCCATGCTGGGCTGATATGGCCATGGTGAATTCATGTTGGATGAAATGGGCTGAATCAGTTACTCATGTACGCAGATCAATTTTGGATGATTGAGATTTTACAATAAAATGGGTTATGTGGTGGAATATTAATTAAAACAAGGACGAGATCAATGTAACAGTTTACATAATTCTATCATTGTTAAAAATATATAATTAATGTAGAATATGGTAAGGCGTGAGCCGGGTTTAATTACCATTGGCAGGGTTGACGCCACGGTTCTTGAGCTCGCGGTACATCTGGCTGAGGGAACATCTGTCACAGAAGAGCTGCAGACAGCAGTCGGCGCAGGGCTCCGGCGCCATGCCGAACGTGGCGCGGAGCTTCTGGCGGTAGGACCAAGAGTACATGGTGTGCATGCCTGGGAGCACCGTGCTCGGCCGCATCCAGCAGTAGGTGATGCCTGCTATGGCGCAAGCTGCACACGTCCGTACACAAGCAAACATATAATTTAATTATGTCACATAACTAAAGTCATACTCCCTCCGCCTCAAAAAAAAAAAAAAAAAAAAAAAAAAAAAAAAAAAAAAAGACAAACCCTGGGTTTCCGTGTTCAACATTTGACCGTCCGTCTTATTTGAAAAAATTATGAAAAAAATTAAAAAGACAAGTCACATAAAAAGTATTAATCATGTTTTATCATCTAACAACGATAAAAATACTAATTATAAAAAATTTCATAGAAGACGGACAGTCAAACGTTGGACACGGAAACCCATGGTTTGTCTTTTTCTGGGATAGAAGGAGTAGTAGTAAATATCTTTGCTAAATATATATAAGAGAGTATAGCTACTCCCTCCGTCTTATTTTAAGTGCAACCATAAGTTTCCGTGTCCAATTTTGATCGTCCGTCTTATTTGAAATTATTTTTAATTAATATTTTTGTTGTTATGAGATGATAAAACATGAATATTACTTTACTCATGACATATGTTTTTAATTTTTTAAAAAACATTTTCAAATAAGACGAACGGTTAAAGTTGGGCGCGGAAAACTATAGCTGCACTTAAAATTAAAATGGGACAGAGGGAGTATCTAGCTAGCATATGTAATTAATTGATGGCAGTTCGTTACAGATGCTGCCCCTGTCGAGGGTCTCGGCGATAAGGCCGAAGGCAACGCACGGGCAGAAGAACGTCAGGCAACCTGCACATACAATATTGTGCACCAACCATCAGATTGCTTAATTAGTAGCTAGCCATATTATTATTAATTAACCCTTCAATTCAGTTCATATATGGAGTACTACAACTAGCCACAGTGTACAAAACTAGCTCTAGCTGAGCTCACAGCTGTTGCAGTCGTCGCAGCAGTCGCAGAGGCCGGTGGTTCATGCCTGCCCGACCGGCGCCTCCGGCGAATCTCCGGCCATCTTAATTAATTACCTAATTTTCAAGGTATAGCGCTACTACCTAACTTGCTTGCTCGCTCAAAACTTACTTGATCTAGCTAGAAAACTATATATGCATATGTATATAGTAGCATTAGCAATGCAATGGCGACATTGCCTGCATGAATATGTATTACAGTGTATTTATAGAGCACACCAGCCAATAGCAAAGAGTCTTCGTGAGGCTGGGAAGAGTCGACGACAACGTTGACGCCGCACAATGCTATATCAAAGTCACGTATATGAGACAATATGCAGAAAAAGCGTGGCACTGACATGTACACATCATGAGATGTTGATCTCTCCATCACTCGTTTAGATTCACTAACATCTATATAAATTTAGACAAAAATATATAAAACAGATACAAGAAAACATGCATAAATCTATTAAAAATCCAAAATATATTATAATGTAAAATAGAGTCATGTACTCGTAATATCATCGTGAACCGGACCCAAATTTACCATACCTCGAGGGCTAGGTTATCATGCCCCGGTGGTAAAGCACGATAAACGTGATAACCATGGCAAACCAGAGTTTCATGAGTTCCTGCACAACTATCATTAGTACCTGGCGGTAAGACCAATTATCGCGATAACTAACACTGTTGGGGAGTTCATTTTTGCTCCTGGTTCACAACGCAACTTAGTCTACCAGGACGCACAATCCAAGACTAGAGATAACTATTTTTAGTCCCGGTTAAAATAACCGGGATTAAAAATACATCTTTAGTACTGGTTGGTGGTGTTGATTTGTACTACCGGTTATTGCCACCAACCGGTACTAAAGATCTCGGGGAGCCTGACATGCTCCGATAAAGTGTTAACCGGAACTAAAAATAATCTTTAGTACCGATTGGTGTTACTAATCGATTCTAAAAATTGCAATATGCCGTTGGGTGTTTTAACCGGTGCTAAAGAACGTCTTTAGCACTGGTTCGTTATACATCCGAGTTATTTGCTGTTTTTGCCGATCGAGCAAAGATCGATTCTCCAGAGAGAGTAATTAGTAGTCCAATAGCCAACAGTATTGTCGAGACTCTCAGTTTAACCGGTTTCATACTTCTAAAGATAGAACACAGCAGCACATACATATAAATTACTACTCCGTATGTGGCCTGTTCTTTTTGCTATCGCGGATAAAGGTTGATAATTTTTTTTTCCCTGAGGTTTACAGAGATATGGACTAGACCTTTATACTGACTGAATTATATATCACAAAGTTTGATGGACAATTCATCTCAAAAAAAAGTTGATGGACAATATCAACATAGTTAATTATGTAAACAACGTACATGTAAAAAAGTATCGGATAAATCATGTCGAACGCGTGATGAATAGACCGGTGAGTAAGGTGCCGAATATTGAGAGCACTAACTCCTCAAAAGTATAACTAGGATCGATCAAGTGCGATGAGTTGGTTGTTGAAAAGGACTCACAGCTCCATATTTCTGCATGGGTCCATATGCTTAACGGCCACGGGGCTAACTTGTATAGTCGATGTATGTGGGGGAATTAAAATACCGATTTGCATTCATCTATTTTCGACACATGGCACCTAGCTACGTCTGCATTCTCTGCTAGCCACAGGAAATGAATAAAAGATGGTTAATTACCTTATCCGAAACTTCAAAACGATATAGGATGTAAACGACCGAATTTGAATTATAGAAACCAAATCCGTTTTCAAGGGGCCACTACTAGTCTATTACTGGCGGACTAACAAAACAAACGCTAGTAAAAATATATTGGCGGAGTCTGGGTCACAAGCCGCCAGCGAAAATCGATTTTCACTGACGGACGGTTAGGAGATCCGCCAACAAAAATAACTCAAATTTTTTAGGCGGACCTCTTAAGGGTGCGCCAGCAAAATTTAGGTTTTTGCTGGCAGTATGTAAAGAGCACCGCTAGCAAAAACAATTTAGTAATTAAAAACCCAACCTCCCACCGCCCTCCTTCCTCTCCTTGGTTCCCTCCTCTTCCTTAGCCCTACCCTTGGCTTCTCCACCACCACGGTACTCTCATAGACGATGACAGCGTCCGTGGCGGCAAAGGCGGCTGCAGCAGTAACAACGACGAATCCGGTGGCGCGCAGGCGTGCGGGTGGCGGGAAGGCACCCGAGCAGCAGATCCGGCGACAGGGAGGAGCACGCGGCGGTGAGGATGCGCCCAGGCGGCAGATCCAGCGACGGGGAGGAGCGCAGGCAATTGATCAGGCAGTGGGAAGGCGCCCGGCGGCACGTATGGTGACGAGGAGGACCGGAGGAGCGCGGGCAGTGGATCCGGCGGCGAGGAGGAACCCAAGCGGCAGATCCAGTGGTGGGGAGGAGCACGGATGGGCCAGTGGAGCTTGGGCAACGGGGAGTCTCACGGCGGTGAGCAGGCCAGCGGAGTTCCAACGTGGCTTCGGCTACAGGCGGGCAGCAACGGTGAGGCTATTGATAGTCCTTAAGTACCAAATCCGACTGTCAACTCCTGCACACAAAAGCAAACAAAAGAATATAAAATGGAATATCATAGTTGGAGGAAGTGGTTATTACTAACCATTTCCACATGTCTTGGTGAATATTTGTATGCTGTTGAATTATGGACGAAAACCACCCGCCAAGCGACAAAACAAGCATCCGGCTAATCAGACGCGAGTACCCACAAACCACAGAAAAACCAACAAATTTGAGGACAACCCCCATGTGCTGTCATGAGGGCCCACTGGACAGTGACCTGGCAAAAGGGGAGGCTGAGAGGAGCCAAAAGTGGTTCGGCCGAACCACTTTTGTGGCCTCTCAGGCTCAACCTTGGCAGGGAGGTTCCCACCGACCTAGGAGTCCATTCAGGCCTGCATGACTAAATACAGTGGATCCAAGGGTGTTAACAACAGAATTTTGCATCGGATTCAGAGAAGAAGGAAGAAGATCGAAGCGGATTTGGTGTGGAATCGAGTTGAATTTGGAGTCAAACTGCGCATCGGCTCGATATCATATCGGCTAGAAAATAGAGTGTGAGTTGATCAAGGTTGATAAGGATGATAACCGATACAACCGATATGGTATACCTTGGGCTCGGTTTGCGCCTAAATCATGATAACCGTCATTGTCAATTAGAGATAGAGCTCAATTAAGGCAATTATATCTATTAATTAGGATAGTTATGTCAGTTGTGATTAGTTTTGGTAAGAGACCACTGTATATGCTCTTGCTTGTATTTTATCTTTAGAAAGGTTTCAGTCATGTCCATAATGGACTAGTTTGTACTCGGGGTATAACTATGAACCCCTTAGCACTGTAAAACGGGGGACAATCCAATACAACTTCGGTGCATCGCTACCCTTTTCGTTTTTACTTTTCAACGAGTTCGCTTCACAAGAGGTAACACGTATCGATGGCTTGTACTATCGGGGCTATTATGTCGCTTTAGATGTTTTAGTCCTTTTATCATGGTCATCTGCTATCATATGTCTTAACTAATCTAGTCTTAGTATCTAGATTTATCTCTATCGGCTGGTTCTCGCTTTAGGGTTCTTGACGGTATCGGCTAAATCTTCCTACTTGATTACATTAGTTAAGGCATCTACCATCCTGAAAAATAATTGTTTACTTGATTGTTTAGACTCTAGGTTTCTTTATCTACTTTGCGATGCATCATCCCTAGTCTTTTATTCGAGCCCTAGAAACTAACCTGGAAACAATCATAATTAAGGATAGTATCAGAGTTTCAGCCGATCTTACCTAATATACATGCTTATTTACTAAGTTTTATGTATATTTACCACTTATATAGATAGATCATCCTATATAATCATATCAAGCTAGATCGGTATCCGCTGGGCTATCTAAATTACTAACTGATCATGATTTGATATGTTTATATAGATTGATCTGCTTATATAAGTCTGTACTAGAGTATTAGCTAGTACTTTATCATTATCTATATATTCTACTTTAAGCATTGTTCTATCGGCTATTTTCATAATATTGCCGTAAGCTTCTTTATCAAACTTGATAGGCAATATTACAGCCGATGAGGCATGTTTAGGGGGTCTATTATTCAATGATCTATCCAGTCCATAGCTGATTTGGTCTAACTACATCAGCTATGACCACCAATGATACCCTATCGGCCTATCGGCCAATCGGCTATTTACTGACTAACTTTGCTTTTGTCTTTCTTGCTGATTGCAGGATCAAATCAACTGACACGCCCTTGACACACTCGAGGCTAGCCTTAGACCTGGACTGGAATTAAGCAGATCTCTCAGGCCACCGTGTTTTCACATCAACAAAGGGTCAGCCGAACAGACATCGGCTCCCGTCACCATCTGCTGCCACGTGGAGGACTAGGATGCACTCTGAATGACGGTTGTGGGTGGTTGCCTCCCTATTAACCGTCATAGCTACCCTATAAAAGGAGTTCTCCATTTCACTCACAAGGCACAACACAACAAGTGGAGTACAGCTCACTTATGTACTTAGGCATTGCTCTAGTAGAGTACGAAAAGAGTGAGGGGAAGCTCCGAAAGGAGTGCCCCAAATATCGGAGTTTTCTTCGGAAGTTCCGGAGGAGTGCCGGAGATATCGGCATTCTTCTATGGGAGTTTTGTAGGAGTGCCAGAGATGTTGGCACTCTCTCCGATTTTGCCGGAGATATCGGCATTCTTCTATGGGAGTTTTGTAGGAGTGCCAGAGTTTTGTAGGAGTTCCGGTGTTGACGGGAAACACGGCGGCTTGGGAGATATGCTTAACCGCAGTGCAGTTCCAAGGCTTGCCTCGAGTATGCTAACGGCGTGCTAGCTGGTTTGATCTTGCAACTAACAAGGAAACAACAAACATGATTAGTTAACCGATAGCCGATCGGCCGATAGGCCGACGACGTATTGTTGAGGGTCTCAGCCGATATAGTTAGACCAGATTGGCTGTATACTGGATAGGATAAAGCATGAAAAAAAAACCCTTAATAAGCTTATTAGCTGTAATATTGTCTGTTTAGTTTGATAATTCAATTTTCAGACAATATTACAAAAATAACCGATGGAACAGTATTGAGAGCGAGATAGGTAGATAAATATAATGTACTAGCTAATACTCTAGTACAAACTTATATAGACAAATCAATTT